TCTCTCTCTCTCTCTCTCTCTCTCTCTCTCTCTCTCTCTCTCTCTCTCTCTCTCTCTCCCTCCATCCCTCCTTCTCTCTCCTACTCTCTCGCCACCCTTGAATAGTCTCATGATGTCTCTTGCGCTGTTCACCACCCTCCATCTCTTGTTTTCTTCATCGCGATACACGCGTACGAGAGAGAAAACGCCTGCAAAACAGGGCGCCACGGTCTTTAACTCGCAAATGCTCGGCGCTCACTTTGCTGTATTAGATTCTAATAGGGGAGCACACACTGAGGGGATCATTTGTGCTAAGAGCTCTTCGTTTCGTCTTGTCGCGTCTCGTTGCACTCGACTTGCCTTAAATGAATGTTTATGGTGGGGGATTTAACTGAATCATACGACGAATATCATTGCCAATTTCGACAACGACGACAGCATTGATGGATACGTTTCGTGTAATCATAATGAAATGCGTGACAAATCTAGCTTTATGATCGTTTGAGATAATTCTAGGGGTTGAGCGTTTATCTTACATGTTTTTTATTTTTACTCTCGGACGTGCATTTTTTATAGACTCTAAAAGTATACAATTTGTGAAAGAAAGTTTTTTATAATAATTAAAATAATTCTCTTCTAATTTGATACTGAAATAATGTTCCCGAATTCTATTTGCAATGTTAAATCCGATTTTGGAAAAATCTGCCTGGATTTAGTTAAACGAGTTAAAATAACTGCATCTTAAATGAATATGCAAAATATACTTATTGTCAATTGCAGAGTCACGAGAAATTAACAATTCATATGAGTTTCTCAAAACAGGTTAATATTTGTAATATTTTAACGTTTTGAAATCAATTGAATAATAGTATAATTGAATTTCAAATTTTTAGGAGAAATAAATGCATATCAAAAAAATAAATACCACTAGAATTGCTAGTCGGTTGATTAAGTAAAGAAATATGATTTATGTTTCAAATAATCAATTGGATCCGCAGAACTGTAGAGTAATAAAAAGCCCTTAGACTTTTGCTTATTTGAAATCTAATATGTTACACGTAAAGTATTGTATGCGAAACTTGTTCATCATTTACTCAGATTACGCATACACATCGCTGGCAAATATTTCATTGCGAGAATTTATGTGAACCAACCGCGCGCATTACGCAGAGAGAAGCTCTTTCCCGTGTCGTTTAGCGAGAAGGATATGGGAGTCACATTCGAGCAACGACGTTCGGTTGATCGAATATATTAACGTGCGGGCAATTTGTACAGCCTGACGGATATAACCCCCCGAGAACCATCGGTGGCAAAATGTATTCCGGAGATTACACCATCCGAAATCCGTCGTGCTATTAGGCGAAAAAAGAGAGAGAGAGAGAGAGAGAGAGAGAGAAAGAAACGCTCCTGCGCGCTCATGCGCGGGTATCGATAAGATATACGTTTCGATAATGAAAAAGTTATAAATCTGGAATTGTGAAATGGCGGGCCGTATAAATCTTCATCGGGCAGCGCTGCCAAATCCCTTCGTACCGCGCAAATCCCTTTCCAATATTGAAAAAAGTGATAGGTCCAGTATGTAATGATCCGGTATTACCCGAAACCGCGAGGGAACGCTATCGATCTATCGTTGGTATTCCGCCCGCATCGACCGGTGTCGTTCTGTACATCCTCCCGCGTGTGTATCCAATTATAAGATAGCACTCTCGAATGAAACGTCCGTGTGCATAATTGCGACACTGCTTCGTGGACGCAGCGGGATACAATTTCCTCCGCTTCAAATAAATTATGGATTTAATTATGAAATCCATTTTTTACAATCTTTTCTTTTTTTTTTTTAACAAAATTCAGATTTCGCGGAGATCGGAGATTGACTTCGCGTATTTCTTTCGATAATCGCAACGTTTGAACTGTTCGCGCGACAGCGATCACGAGTTGCACAAAGTGTACGGAGTGGCGATTATAGTTCAAGCGACGCCGCGATTTTTTGCCGTTGCTACACGTAAGTTATTGTAAACAGCGTCATGATCATTGCGCAAACCCCCAAGAAACTTTTGAAGGGTATCGCGCGATAACGCGGGATTCATCGGCAGCGGTGATATAAACAAGCCCTCCCCTCCCCCCCCTCTCACTCCCACGCAGTCAGCCGGTCGCGCAGAAGAGTACGCGGGTATATATTGTCGTAATATTTCGAAAAACGCGCGCCGGCACTCCGGGATCCGGCGGCAATCTCGCCCTCGAAGATGGCATATACGCGGAGGTGAATCGCCTCTTCCCGAGGAATCCGAGGTAATTGAATGCTAACCCTCCTCACCCCCGCGGCGCGTCCCCCGCCGCGCCCTTGCTACGCGCGGCAATCCCTCCCTCCTCGTCCACCCTCCGTGTCGCGTCCCTCATTCCACCCCTCCCCCCCCGGCCCCTTCCAGCCCCGGCTCTGCTTTAGGGGCGCCACGCTCGCGCTCTCGCTCCCCCTTCGCCATCACTCACTGACACAGACTTGTAGCTTTCAATAAAAATGTAAATATGGCGGCGTAGAACGAGCCAATGACAGCGCTACATCGACGCCCGGAGTCTGTGAGGGATAGATAGATAGAGAGAGAAGAGGAGAAAGGGAGAACCTGCCTTTGCGGCAGGGGTTGAGAGTTTCGAAACGGGAAGCAGCCAGGCTCTCTCTCTCGGAGGGTCGAAGATGGCGAAGGAAGAGATAGAGGGGAAGGGGGAGGGGGAGGAGGGGGGTGGGAGCGAAGGGCGAGCGGGAGACTTCGGCTCGAAGCGGAGCGCCGGAAGGTGGCGGGCGAAGAGACGGAGGAGCTTGCGGGGGCAAGAGAGATGTCTGTAGGGAAAGAAGGGGGATGCAAAAGCTCCCACGGAAGACGAAAGATGAAGAGAGAGAGAAAGAGAAGTCGCTCTCCGTCCTTTCGCTCACCGTCACCGCGGCCTCACCCGAGTTTCATCCGCGCTTCTCTTCCCTGCGTTCCTTCTTCCTCCTTGGTGACGATGAAAGAGAGGCGAGAAAGAGAAAGAGAGAGAGAGCGCAAGAGAGCGACGCCGAGGATGACGCAGGTGCCGCAAAGCTTGA